ATCACGAACTGAAGTCATTGGTTCCACTGTCAAAGTGTTCTACCTGTAAGATTTTTTTCCCCCCTGGTGTTCCATAACTCTGGTCCCGAATCCTGCAATTGGGAAGGTGGGTCAGGGCTGTGGTCTGTGCAAGCTCCCTTCGGATCCTTAAGGAATTATGTCGTTTCCTTTATCTTAACGCTTCCCCCAACCAACAGGCCAAGGAGAGCATTGAACAGCTGGTATATCTGTGCCAAACTGACAAGGAAGCCGTGCGGGACGCAGCTAAACAGAGCCTTCTTATGTGCGGTAAGTGAGCCTCTCTTTCCAGGCCGCTTTCATCTTCCCCTGCCTTAGGAGGGAGGCTTGTTGCTGGTGGGTGTGGGGTCTCAGTACACAAAGGACTAGTTCAGTTGACCTTATACGAGATGGCGCTGCTTCTGTATAAAAGCCGTCCTTCCTAAATCTCCAGTCATTCTCTTGATCTCTGCTGGTATCACAGCCGAGGCTGGCCTATCAGTACTATTCCTAGCTTAAGGAAAAGTGATGCATGCACTGCATCCGTGGTGGCGCAGCAGTTAGAATGCAGTAATTGCAGGCTAATTCTGCTGACTGCCAGCAGTTCGATTCTGACTGGCTCAAGGTGGACTCAGCTTTCCATCCTTCTGAGGTGGGTAAAATGAGGACCCAGACTGTTGGGGGAAGATATGCTGACTCTGTAAAACTGCTCAGAGCAGGGGTCGCCAACCTTTTGGACCTCAGGGACCACCAGACTCATAATTTTAAATCCCGCAGACCAGAGACCCTGGGAAAATCCCCCAAAAAGGAAAATTCCCCACTCCGTTTTCCTACCGATCGATCGTGCTTTATTTGGGATCACAGGATACCGTCTCCAGCTCCGTTCTCAGGGGGAGAGAGAGACTTTTGTTTTCATGCAAGGAAAGCAGCAGAAGTCTTTCTTTCTCTCCTCCAAACTCCACCAGAAATGAGTCTTTGTGAGATTTGTCACAGCCTCTTGGAGCAGGAGGCCTTGCGGGGTCCCATTTCTGGCAGAATTTGGGGGAGAGAAAGAAAGACTTTTGCTGCTTCCCTTGCATGCAGCCAAAAGCAGAGGAAGCAGAAAGAAGCAGCCTGGTGGCCAGACCAGGCGCGTGGGGCGCATGGGGCAAGTTGCCCCTGTCCTCCCTGTCCTCCCTCCCCTCAATACCTCGTGTTGTGTGTAATGCAAGTGACACAAGACTTGTATTCCCGCAGGCCCTTTGGGTGGCACAGCCTTGTGTCCCCGCGCAGCCTGGATTAATTGCTTTGGGGGGGGTGCCATTTCTCTGTGGACCACCAAAATGTCCTCACAGACCACCAGTGGTCCCCGGCCCACCGGTTGGCAACCACTGGCTTAGAGAGGGCCGTAAACTAAGCACTGTGAAGCAGTATATGAGTCTTAAGTGCTAGTGTTATCCTGGGAAGAGAATAAAGGCACTTATGTAGTCCTTGCTGTTTATTATCCTTTGATAGATGGCACTGAAAGAACCCTCTGATGGGGCTCAGTAGAACTCCTGGGTCAGGACAGCGGCTGCACAGGTCGGGATCTCATAGCCAGCCGGTTAGCCACCCTTCCCTGCCCGTGTTGCATGTCTAACCGGTGTCTCTTGTCCTGGGTCTCATCAGACCCAATGTGGTTGGGTTTACGTCTTTCACCGTGGCCACGAGTGGCAGGCATCTCCCAGCTGTGCTTGTGTTCTGGCTGTGCACGTCTCTTTGTCTTTGTTGCATATGGAATGGCACGCCGGTTGAGGGACTCTGCCTTGGTCCCAGATGTGAAAGGCTGACACAAGATGCTACGACGGACTAAAATGAGATTCTGTGTGGTGTTGTGTGAATCTAATAACTCGTCTCGAGTAGAAGTGAACCACACCGTCCCGTTCACCCTAAATGTGGTTTATTTGTTCGGGTGTTGCATGCGGTATGAACCCGGTATATTTGTGTTTGGTTAATTTGGGCTTAAGAGTTAGCATGTGGTGTGAAGCAATTGAGTATTTGTCCACCTAGCACTGCATTGCCCACGCTGAGCCACCTTGGGTTGCCATATGGCTTTTGATAGGATCCCACACGCGGAGAAGGCTAACCCAAAGCAGGATGCAGGATTTCAGCCAACACTTTCCCTTCAGCCCAATAAAACTAACCCATTTGATTAACTGCATGAATCAGAGGAGATCCTAAATAAGGTTAGAGTAGAATCCCGAGATTATTTCAGAGCCATGGAGTGAGCCAAAGACATAAGCGATGCTTGAAGGCTCAGGTGTCCAGAACTCGCTTAGGTCTTTCCCTTCACCCAATACCTGGTCTTTTTAATCAGAGAAGTCAGATATTAAACACAGTTCTTTTGAGGGCAAACCACAGCCAACTTTTTGGTTTGTCGTTGGCTTCTCTGTATTGTCCCTTGATTTTTAAGGAAAGCACTTTTTTTTTGCCAGTCCTTTCAGCTCAGGGTATTTTGCATTTTTAAGAAGCTTGAAAAGTTTGGCAGAGTAAAAGGTCTGCATGGGCGATTCATTTATTGAGGAGTGGGAGAGGAAGAGTAAAATAGATTGAGTACTTTCTTCAAACTCCATTGCCCCCAATCCTGATACCCACAGAAGCTAATTTAAACCCTGGCCAAGAAGCACTCCAGAAACAATGGGGTGGGAATTCCCCATGCTCGTCAATGCTAGGAATACTTATCAGAGACCATACTTAATGGAAATAATTTTTGAATTTTTCTTTCCCCGTGACCTTCCCCTGCTGTTTTAGGGTGTGGGGCCACTCAAAAGCCAAAATCTGATCCTCGGCTTGAGAAATCAACACTGATATCCTGTAAAATCTACCTAAATTTCTGGTTGAATTTTACATTTCACAGCTACCAGGATTTAAAAACATACTGTTTTATTCACCTGCAAATTCTCTAAAGTTGTCTGCAGGCAGCCGGAAGAGGTTCATGACATTAATTCCTTTCAAAATGTGGAATGGAGGTACACCCAGATTCTACAGAATTCGGAAAAGCAAGCAAGATGATTTAATTTCCCCTAGACTTTATTAGTCATCCCCAATCTAGTGCAAACTCCCAAATTATCAAAGTTCCTAGGAACTCTAAGAACTGCTATTCACATGTCTCAGAAGACACCAGAGCATTGGGCGATTGTGCTAAACATTCCTTATCTCTGAAGGACAAACCTGGGTCTGGTACTTAAGAGCCACCCAAGGATATGTTTGTACAGATTGAACGAAATGCTTGATAAAAGGCCTTTAAATGAGAAGTGTGATTTCTAAATCCACATGCTATACATAATTTGTTGCAATGTCTATCCAGCCAGTCTGTGTCAAGTTATCCGCTTAGCATGCTGAGATGTCTTTTGCTCTGAATTTTACACACGAAGTTCTCCAGATTGTCAGCCTAACGATGTATGTCTCCCAACCATCCTTCCTGTGTTTACATGCATGTGGTCCAAAGAAACATCAGCATGGAACAAATGATAAAATATATTTATATAGCCCTGAGAGGGCAGACATAGTGAAATATGTGCTCGGTTGAAGGGCTTCATACATCACATTATATGTTTGGTGGGGCCCTTCAAACAAAATTTTGTGTTGACTAATGAGATGTAAGAAGTATATTAGGGACTTAACACAGAATAGGATAGTTGGTGACAAAACCAAAAACGTTTAAGAATTGAGCACATACTTATTCTTAAACACTTCTTTAAAAGAAGGAGTTTGACAGTCAAGGTTTGCATTATGAATAATAATTATACTTGGATCACGGACCGGGGTCAAAATTCAAGCTGCAATTGGACAGCCATTTGTCTGAAATGGTATAGGATTTCCTGCCTAAGCAGGGGGTTGGACTAGAAGACCTCCAAGGTCCCAACTCCATTATTCTATTCTATTCTGTTGTTCTATTCTACTCTATCCTCTCCTCTCTTTTCTATTGTCTACATTCTATTCTATTTCTATTCTATTCTACTCTATTCTATCCTCTCCTCTTTTCTATTCTCTACATTCTATTCTATTTCTATTCTATTCTACTATTCTACTCTACTCTACTCTACTCTACTCTACTCTACTCTACTCTATCACCATATTGTATAAACAATGTTCCTGAAAAGCTGCCACCATTTTGACTGCAAGTGAGCAGCCAGGAAAGGAAACATCCCAAAAAGTTTTTTTTAACCCAGGCCAGATTTTTATACATGGCCGAAAAAGGCAGATTTTTTTTGTACATGGCCTTCAGGTCAGCAGCGCCTGCGGTGTCTAAAGTTGAGGCAGAAATGACCCTGATGGGCACCTGATTTCTGTGTCTGTTTTCAGGGGACGATGGCAAATCAGCTCACCGAAGGCTAGAAGAATCCCTGGACAATTTGCCCCGGATCTTTGCCCCAGGCAGCATGGCCAGTACTGCATTTTGAAGGATCGCGGCCTCGATCTACCTGCCGATCCTTTATTGGGCACACGGACCTTGTATGCCGCAGAACTTCAGCGGAGTCCTTCGAACCGAAGTCAACCCGGCCTCTGGCAGAGCGGGCAGCTCCATCACTCGTGGGGCCACGCCCGCAGCAGTATTAGGACCGCTGACCTGCTGCCTTAGGTGGAGAATGCCTTAGCTCACTGGCTCCAGCAACAGCAGCAGCAGCACGGAGGCGATCCCTTCTGCGGTTTTCTTCCTCCTACCGAATCTGGTGTTGAACTGGGCATGTTATTGTTAGCCAGGACCAAAATAGATCCCTCTCTACTTGGATCTGCTGGAAAACAAACCAGCGACGGTAGGCGGGGAATCATCGGTTTGAGATACCCTCGGGAAGATACACGTTCAAAGTCCAGCTTTAATGTTTAACCTCTTCTATTCTCCACTATTCTCTCCACCCTGCGGGGCTGTGAATCTAGCAGGAAATTGGGCCCAGCTAGATTCTCTGTTAGGGCTTTGGATAAATTGTAGGTTTCTCCTCTGGATTGCAAGGTGGAGAGAGGGCGGGAAAAAAGCAACAAAAAACGACAGGAAGGAGTCCTTTATTCCCAGCGAAGGAAGGGTAAACTAATGTCTTTATAATGACGATGCTATGGAAGATGGAAACCGAACGGGCAAAAGTTGCCTCTTCTTGTGCTATTTTAATATTTTTTATGTACATGTGTGTGTGTGTGCTTGTGGTGCGTGTGTGCGTGTGTGTTGGGGGGGGAGAGGCAGCAGCCAAATGGAAGCAAAATGCCCTTTTCTACAAAGTATCTATAAATTTATCTGTACATCTACATAGCTATAAATATATATATATATATATAATGTAATTATCAAGAGGTTTGGCTAATTTTGACTTTCAGCCTGAAATAAACAGAACTTTGAGCAAATAAGTTGAAAGTGTGCGATTTTGTGGACTTTTGGGGTTTGTTTGGTGGAGGGGTGGGCAGCTTTCCTCAGCAGCTGTAGGAAGAGAGTACTGCAAATGAATTAGGTCAGCAAAATGTAACAGCTTTATTTTATCATCATTTATTTATCATTTATTTCAAACAAAGAAGACATTTAAGGTTTGTTTTTTTCCTTTCGCCCTCAGAAGGCGGTTGGGCAAATTTGAGGACCAAACACATATCACAAGTCAACCTACCTATTTTTCAGGACTGAAAAACTATACAATATTCATTTCTAGCTTTCCTACAACCACAATTAAGCCCCCAATTTCAGTTGCTAAGGGAGACACGTGAGTCAGTTTTGCCCCATTTTATCTTTCTTGCCACTGTTGTTAAGGCGAATTGAGTACAACGGTACTAGAAGTGACTTAGGACCATTGAAACGTCTCCGTGGCCACATGGACAAAATTCAGATGCTGGGCAAACTGGCTCCTATTTATGACGGTTGCAGTACAGGTAATCCTCGACTTACAACTGTTCATTTAGTGACCATTCGAACTTACAAAACCACTTTAAAAAGGGACTGATGACCATTTTCCACACTGACTCACGTTAACGACAGTTGCAGTATTCTGGAGTCACAGGATCCCCTTTTGAGACCATCTGACAAGCAAAATCATTAGGGAAAGCAGATTCACTTACAACTGTGTTATTAATTTAAGAAACTGCAGTGATTCCACTTAACAGATGTGGTGAGAGGAGTCGTAAAAGGGGGCAAAACTCACATAACAAATTTCTCACTTGGCAAGATAAATTTTGGGCTCAATTGTGGTTGTAAGCTGAGGACTCTCTGAAAGGCCAAACATATTTGAGGGGAAAAATATATATATAAGCATAACTGAGCCAAAGCAGCTTACTCATTGCTTTGAATTCAGGGATCAATATTCTGTTGGCTGGGCTTCCCATCCAATAATCCCAATTAGGCTTTACAATTTCACCAAAATACTGGTGGTGGCAATTTTGCGATAAATCACACAAAATAATGAACCTGATTGCCCCTTGGTTGCAATATGAAAGAGATCGTAATTTCTACCGTGTAAAATGGATTTCCTTTTCCAACCTGGCTTAGGACATTTTGAGGTACATTCTGAAAAGAAGTGAAACCCAGAAAAGGGAAAATTCATTTCTAATTCAAGAAAACCAGAGGCAATGGAGACCCAGCCTGTGGAAGGAATTGAGGAGATCCAAGTTAGTACACTATGTGGTGGCCAAAAAAACTCAAGTTTAGCAGCGCCTTTCCCAAATAGCATGGTTTAAAAAAAACCCTACGTTTTGAAAAGTTTATGCCCTTCAATAAATTGTGAGAATTGTATTTGCACAACATTGGAAAAATGAAGACACACCTACAGATGAAAGTATAATTAGAAAAATATTAGACTGTGCAGACATTGATAGGTTAACATTAATTATAAAGGATAAGGAAGAAACAATACTTTTATATAATATTTTACAAATATTAGTATTAATATTAGTTATATTATCAATATTGCATACTATAAGTAAATTATGTAAGAATTTTATTATAAATAAGCAATTAATAGTATTTTAATTATGGCTGTTATTAATATTACTCTCATTACTAGCTTACTTTATATGAACAGATGGCAGACAATACACTTCATTAAGCATTTAAGTATTTTAAAGAAGAAAAATGTATAAACAATTAAAATTGTTTTAGAAAGGATGCTACCAGATTCCAGATTTTTACACTAAACTGATAAAATGAAAAATAGAAAAAGGTAACAGCAATCACTTTTGTAATGTTGCCAAGAAATCCACATGGATGTGTCTATGGTGTTCTCAAGAACTGACTTTGAGCTAGGGTTGTTTTTACCTGTTGAGTGGTTAAGAAATGGAGGCACATGCGGTTGCTGCATACTTCCTGCACGATTGGAAGACGGTTTTATTTTTTTCAAATGAAATACGGATTTTCATTGGTGCAGATAAAGATAGGGATCTTAGCCTCTTCCAATTTCCATCACCTCCTTTTCTGAAAGCAGTACTTCATTAACTCCTATGGATGAATGGAATATGTGAAATCTGCCCATTAAGGACATACTGTACTGTCCTTGGACATTTCAAGGAAAATAATAACTCTCTTCGAAGGCCTCCAACCAGTTGATCGTGTTTTTGTTGCTGTATTATGCCTCTGGCAAAATATGCATGACTCTGGAGAGTCTTGCAACTTTTAGCCTCTATGCCCATCTGCATCGTGCCATGGTAGTCTGCAATTAAAACCCATTCTGGCACCGCAGAACCGTCAAGGCTCAGATTTTGCATTGACCTTTGAATATCTTGAAAAATGAAGAATGATCGTTCCTTTCCATTGGGCCGGCGGTGGACAATCTCTTAAGTTTGTCTGCCAAAGTTTGCAATGGTGCACATACAAGTAGTTCTCAACTTACAACAGTTCATTTAGCGACCGTTCAAAGTTTTCAACGGCACTGAAAAAGGTGACTTATGACCATTTTTCACACTTGTGACCGTTGATCTGATAATCACACGATCAACATTCAGATGCTTGGCAACTGACTCATACTTACGACCACTGCAGTGTCCAAGGGTCATGCAATCTCCTTTTTTGCGACCTTCTGACAAGCAAAGTCCATGAGGAAGCCAGATTCTCTTTAACAGCCAGATTAGTAACTTTTATCAACTGCAGTGATTCCCTTAAGAAGCTTGGCAAGGAAGGTGGTACACTGGGACAAAACTCACTTAGAACAAATTTTCACTTGGGCTCAGTTGTGGTCATAAGTCAAGGACTTCCTGCACCGTCTGTTTGTGTGTGTTTTATTCCATGTACCTGGGGCTCCACTATGTATGTCTTAAGAGTGGAGGTATAACAGAGTAAGAGTTGGAAGGGACCTTAGAGGTCTTCTAGTCAAACCCCACCAGTCAAGAGGGAAACCCTATACCTTACCTACAGATCCACGGGTACATCTGACATGCACATACTACACACACATGCAAACACTTGTAAGCATGTGCATGTATGTTATGTACATATAGATGCTTCTTTATGCTAACCCAGAATGTGACCGGCCCAATTTCTCTTTCTCTCTCAGCCCAACCCACCTCACAGGGTTGTTGTAGGGAAAAATAGGAATATGTTCGCCGCCTTGAATTATTTATAAAAAAAATAAAGCTGCCACACAGATAAATAAATGAAGAGTAGGGCGGACATCTGTCTGCCCACTTTGGCAGCACCGCCTGCAGGGGGCGCCAGAGGGCGCCGAGGAAAAGATTTCCCCCGCCCTCCAAGGTCCCGAGCAGCCGTTCGTTTCGCCTCGCCCTCTTCCCGCCCAAACCGCTCCGCCTCGACACCCGTCCCGGACGGGCGCGACGCCCTTCTTGCCCCGCAGCCCCGACCCACGAGGGAAGACAGGGGCAGCCGGGACACCCGCCAGAGACTCAGAGGAACGGAGGCCGCCCCCTGTCACGGCCACCCTCCCCGTCTAGCGGAGGGGGGGGGGTGCGTGACGTCACGGCCCCTCCCCGCGCCTGCCCGAACGCGGCCGCCCGATCCGGCCCGTCGGCATTTAAAGTTAGCGCCCAGCGTTTCTTCCCATGGTGCCCCGCGCGGGCGCTTCTCCCGCTCCCTCCTCCCCTCGATCGGGTCCGGCGGCCGCGGCTGCCGGGGCTCGCGCAGGCGCACCTCGCGCCCCGTCCGCCATTTTGTGTCCGAGGCGACTGTGGAGCGATTAAACCGCGAGCTGGTGCTGGGCGCTGGCGGTGGCCGCTAGCGGCGGGGCAGCGGCAGCGGGCGCTTGGCGGAGCCCAACGGGGCGGGGCCCGGGGCAGCAGGGGCGGCCCGGAGGCGCCTCCGGGGCAGGTAAGCGGCGCGGGGGGTTTGCAGTCGCTTTCTCCGGCCTCTAGGTGTCACGATGGGGCTCGGGCTGGGACCCGCCGCGGCGCCGCCGCCGCCGCCGAGGATGGGGAGCGGGGCTTTGTCTCCCTCTATCGTCCCCACCGCCCTGATGCCGGCCTGGTACTGCCGCCCATCGGCCTCGCCGCGCAGCGCCTCTGCCGGAACCAGGCCGCGCCTAGCGAAGGACGCCCGGGCGGCCTCGGAGGCTCCCTTCGCCGCCCACACGACGCCGGGCGAGGCCGCGCTGCCCCAAACCCGGGCCGCCCCGAGGAAGGCGCGACCCCGAATCCCTCTCCGCCGCCTGAGGGGACGGCCCGGGATTGGGCTGCGCTGCCTCGCCGCCATTACGACACGGCGGCTTCCCGGGCGCTCCGCCGCCTCGGCCCTTCCCCGTCCCGCCGCCGCCGCCGCCGCCGCTGCCGCAGCACCGCCCTCCTGGCTCCCCGGAGGCGTCCGCGGCTCCGGCTTCCCGCTTCCTCCGCCCGCCTCCGGCTTCTCAAACCAACCATCCAACCAACCCCCTCCCTCCCGCCCAACCGGGTCCTTCCTCCCGGCTCCCCTTCTCGGCCGCCTCCCGTCCCGGCTGACCGTGTCCGTCCTGCGGGGCGCCCGGTCCGCGCGGGCGGCCGTCCGTCCGCCCCTGCCGACCGCCTGCTCGCTGTGCGCGTTGCGGAGTGAGAGGCGCTGCGAGCTCAAGAGCGGGACTCGAGCTCCCTCTTGCAAGGCAGGCTGAGCTGCAGCGCCATGCAGCGCGGGCGAGCGCCAGGCGGGGACGCCCGAGCTCGCCCCGCCGCCCCGCCCGGCTCCCGCCGGGGGCCCCCCCCCCCCCCCCGCCCCCCCCCCCCCGCCCCGCTTTCCCTTCGCCCCGCGACCCCCCAAGGGGAGGCGGGCAGCGGACGGGACGAGGAGGCTCTCCCTCCTCCCTGACCCAGCCACCCCGGATCTTCTCCCTTCCGGGCCCCGTTGCCAGCTCCGGCTCTCCCCGCCCGCCCCCTCCTCGATTCGGATCTGCTGGGTCTGCCCTCCCTCGATTCGGATCTATGGAGTCTGCATTGGCTCAATGAGGAGGATCCCTCGGATCTGCTTCTCCTTCACTCGGATCCCTTGGGGGTCCGCATTTCCCCGATTAGGACCTATTGGATCTGCCTTTCCCTACTAGGATCCATTGGATCTGCCTTTGCTCGGTTCGGATCCAGGGGGTCTGCATTTCAGGCAGCCGGGAAATGGAGGCCAGGCACAGGCGGCTGCTGCTGCTGCTGCTGCTGGGTTTTTTTTCCTCTCTCTCTCTCTTTCTGCCCATCTTGGTGCCATATGTTCCCCGGGTTTAATGCTGGCAGCCTTGAAATTTGCGGCTCTGTCCCCTCCCCCCCCTTTCTGCTTTGATATTAGGGAAGGAATTGATCCCAGTGGGGGGATTGGGTAGAAATGCACCTATTTTATTTTATTTATTTTACACCCGGTTTTTGGGCTGCCTTGCTTTCTGGATTGGAAGGTTTGACAGTTGGGGAGGAAGGAAGCAGATGCCCCACCAGGGAGCAGCTGCTGGTGGTGGTGGTGGAAAGTTGGCTGCTGACTCTCTTCCTCAAACTAGGCAAGGGCAAGATCAGAGATAATAGCCCAAGAGCCGTTTGTAATAAATAGGAGAAGCTGGGCAGGATCAGACCGAAGGCCTCTTTTAAGTCTTGTTTTCGCAAAAGCCAACCGGTTGCTTCTGGGAAAAACTCCTGAGAAGGATGGAGGGCAAATGTCTCTGATAAGATCTTGGCTTACATCACAGGCTTGCTTTGCTCTGAGACGCAAAGGTGCTCCTCTGTGTTCAAAAGCAGTTATTTCCAGTTTTAACAGGTATCTGATTTAGAATGATAAAAACACTACCTTGAATATTTTAAGGCTGTAAGTTAATGTAGTGTGAATTTAGTATCTTTCAGTATGACTGCAAATATCTCTTGATTGAGGGAATTTGAGCCCTAGTATGCTGGTCTACAAGATAATTTCTAGATTAGATAGGAGAAATCCCGCCCTGCATAAAATTCTGTTAATATATTTAGGGCAAAATTGGGCTTTGATTGCTTTTGTGCATGTTAGTCAACATGTGCCAAAATCGCGTATTACTGTCTTCACCATTAGCACAAAACATTTGCACATAATGAACATGTGACTAAGACTGATGACCTAATCTGTACCTTATGTTGCTAAAACGTATTAGGAGAAAACCTGAATTAAGCCAAGCCATGGTGGGTGGAAGAGATCATTGTGGATGGGTCTGTGTGATAATAACCATGGCACATAGAATACTCTGAATTGAAATGAAAAAAGTAGGTGTGTGAGCTGAATAGCATAAATAGTATTAAAACCAAAGGGAAAATGAAATACGCTGTGGATTACATGCAGGGAAGTGAAGGGTTAGGTGTGTTAATGAATGAAAAGGTTAAAGTAAGTATCAGTAGGGACAGAAGTTATTGGACTTGTCCAGGTTACTCATGAAAGTAGGGATCCATAGATTGGTGGTGGGTATTCATTAAAGCAGCACCTTCAACAGGTTTTTGACAGTGGGAACAATTGCTATTTTACCCTGAGGGTTACAATTCTACTTACAATTCTTACATATAAAAACCAGGGGCTTCCAAAATATAATTTTAAATAATTATCTTTAGATAATTTTATGTATAGTCTTTTCAGTCAGATAGCTTAGTTATTTGTATTAAAAATACAGTTCTCAAATATCCATTTGTTCAGTCTGTTTACTCAGCTATTCTAAACTGTGATTCATTGCCAAAGAACTAAATTAATTGTTCTTTTTATTGTTACACTTGGCTTCTTTTTCATTTTAATTCTTCACCATGAAATAGATGAACCTCATATGATTTTTAAATTACCATTCTGCACTCTTCAGCCTAATACTGAATTTTACAAAAAAGTATCTTTAAAACTTAAATCCACAACATATCTTTATTAGAAGTTCAATAATGTATATGATTTATGGGGGAAATCTTTAAATATTAAATATGTGATGTTGAATATTATGTACCAAGTAATATTATATAAATAGAACCTGACTTACATAGACAGAATGTCTGTCTGTGAGGAATCATTATTCTAGTGTGCATGGTGAGGGTGGCTAAAAGAACAATATTGAGAAGTGATCATATTCCAGATATTAAATATTGGGTTTTGGAAATCTGTAACTTCTCTGTCTTAGGAAAAGCAATATTTTCTACTAATCAGTATAAATCAATAGGTTCTTTGGCATAGATGTTATGATATTTTAAAATTTTTGTATTCTATTAATATAGTATTGAATGTATTTGACAATACTATTATATTGTATTTTTGTAAAACAGTGACTAGTTTAATATATAGAATGTAGATACATTTGCTTTCTTTTCCTTGTCTTTTTACCATTTTTATCTAGTGTTTGCTTTACTTTTGTTATGGTTATGTATCTTGGTAGTTTGCTTATATTCTGTATCCTATCCTTTCAATAAAGAATTTTTAAAAACACACAAGAACAAAAGGTTAGGGCTTGGTTAAAGTTTGGAAGTGATTGAATCAGTATAGCAAGTATTACATGACTTCTATATTACTACAACAAATAAGAGTTTTGACCTGCATTGCAGTTTCATTGATTTAGAGGGGGCTAATTCCTTACTACATTTTGCTGAATGGTTTACAATATTGGAGATACTTTCTTCCTGTGACCTGATATTAGCAGCATACTGTGAAATATGATTCAGAATTACAAACTGGTATGTTCTGCCTCGCTTTGGAAATAATCTCCTAGGTTTTGTGTAGGCCTTTAAAATCCCTGAGCTCTCCTGTCAATTGGTTAACTTAACTGCCTTCACCCTGCCATGGAATCAGATCCTTATCTAGTCTTACATTCAGTGTCTGGATTTATCTAGTATCCATCTGTACTTCTAACATAATTGTGTTGGCTTTTCATTTAGCAGCTCTGCAAAAGACTGAATGTACCTCTAAGTGTTTCTGACAGGACTTGATGTATTAATTGAAATATTCTGAATTCTTTTGAGCCATAAATAATATTTTAGGAATTTACTGTACAAATATTTGGACTGGAAATGAGATCAATAGTTTAAAATCACATTTAATATTTTATTTTAAGGTTTTTTAATATATTATTTTACATTGTTATATTAAATGATCCTTTTAAACACATAAATAACTGCATCGAATTACTGCATGTAAGTCACAGGCAACTTGTACTATTTGGATGGTACAGTCAGAACAGATTGATAAATAAATTCTTAGAGTAGAAAACCAATTCAGGCTGTGTCAAGCCCAAAGACACCCAGCAAATTACAGGTAGTCCTCGACTTACAACCACAATTGAGCCCAAAATTTCTGTTAAGTTAGATATTTGTTAAGTGAGTTTTGTCCTATTTTACAACTTTTCTTGCCACAGTTGTTAAGTGAATCCCCACGGTTGTTGTTAGTAACATAGTTGTTAAGTGAATCCGAATTTCCCATTGACTTTGTCAGAAGTTCACAAAAGATGGATCCAGGGACATTGCAACCGTCATATGTGTGAGTCAGTTGCCAAATGTCTGATCACATGATCACAGGGATGCTGCAATGGCCATAAAAGTATGAGAAACGGCCATAAGTCACTTTTTTCAGTGCTGTTCTAACTTTGGATGGTCACTATGAACTGTTGTAAGTCGAGGACTACCTGCACCATTGGATCCAGTTCTTTTATTTGTTTACAGTAACGGACAAAATCTTGAAGTTGGCAGCCACTTGACGCACTTTGGTAGGGGCGCTGTGGCCTCTTCGGTCGCACTTGACCGCTAGGTTCCCTTCAGTAGGTCCCCCATACCAGCCATTAGTCTGCCATTGTCCTCTTTAAGGCCCTTAGCCATTGAACCCCTTAACATCGTGGTACTTCTTCAGTGGCCTCCTCTGCTTAGCCTCTTGCCTTCCCAACCAATTCTAGACAGGGAGCCTTGAGGGTATCACCATAGTTTGAAATGGTGCACCTTCAGGCAAGTTCTCCCTCCAGAAGTTCTGGTTTCATCTCCAGCTTAAAGGAACACTGTTAATTTTGTCTTTCGGCTCTAACAACATATCCCTTAATTCCGCTTATTCTTCTTATAAAAACGTATGTTGGCTGCTGGAAAAAAAAATGGGGAAATGAGTGGCTGGGTGATATTCCTGTCTTTACATCATGCACATTTGTCCTACAAAGTGCTAGAAGTGCAATGTTTTTAATTGACATTTGGATTAAGAAAAAAATGAGAATGAAAATACACACCAAATAGAACGTGTGTTTCATTTGGAATATGCATTTTGTTTTGGATGGAATAAACAATGTATCCTTCTCTGGATTGGATTGTTTGGCAGAAATAAGTCGTGAAATCTTTTTATTGTTCCAGGTTTCAGCTGAAAACAAAACCTGCAGGAATTGTAGGTGGAGTAGAGAAAAGATTCAGTGGACAAACACCTGGGGTTTCTGGACACAATTATCTCCCACTGCTTAGTGGCGTTTAGAATTATGTTTATTTGAAATAAAGAGTTTTCTATGTATTACGTGGCAGATACTTAATTATAGTTTACATTGATGATCTTGTCCTCGTTTCAAAGCTATCTAAATAGTTGTTGCTACTTTTACGTCAATTATTCTTGACCAAAAGTGTATTGTTATTCAGTCTTTTTAAGCCTTTCTTCATCTTTGCAGATAACCAGACCAGGGTACAATGCCTATGGAGAAACAAGTCATACCAGAATAAGGAAAGAAATTATCTTGGGAGAAAAAGAAAACAAAGAAGATAGTTTATGTGACTGATGTGCCACAATGGTGAGCA